TCATTGACCTGATACACCTTAGATACTTAACAGTGTGTTGTGGTGAACCATGAGGTATAAATTGGCAAAGAAGGTGGAGAACGGTTCAAAGAAGCAAGTGAATGAGGTAAGCCAGGCAGTTAATGCTGAGGACAGACAGAGTCAACCTATAAGGAAACCACTTAGTTCCATAAGATATTCGTGAAAAAAATATAAGATATACTGGATTCAAAGCTCAGTAGTTTCAGTGTGTAAATATCGAGGAATAATGTAGAATAAGCCAACAATGTACAGTGCTGGTCGTAGATTCAACCAAAAAAGTCAACCGCCCACAGATCAGTATTGAATTGTTTTTAAGGCTATTGTTTCTATTCTATACTAAGTGACATATAAATCCGAACACCCAGTTTAAATGGTTTTATTTTAATAAAAGTTGGTGAATGTATTTATCTTGCTGTAAATAACAAGTGAAACATTTTTGGCTTGTTTTCATACCGGCCACACTGGGTCCTCCCTTTAACTCGAGAACACCGACGTAATCGCCTTGAGTGGTGCAGACAACGGTCACTCTGGGATCAGGAATGGAACAGTATTGTCTTTAGTGACGAGTCTCGATTTTTTTTAGGCATGCACGATGGTCGTGCCAGGGCTAGAAGGCGACGTGGTGAAAGGAGGAATCCACAGTTTTTTGTTGAAAGAGATGTTCATCACACTGTTGTAGTTATGGTTTGGGGTGCTATAGCTTATAGTTCCAGGTCACCTTTAATCTTCATCAGAGGTAACATGAACGCGCAGCGTTATATCCACGAAGTTCTAGAACCCCATCTTTTACCCTACCTTGACACCCTGGCAGATCCAACTTTCCAACAAGATAATGCCCGACCACATGTTGCAAGAGTCACAATAGACTTCTTTCAACATAATGATGTCACATTGTTACCATGGCCACCAAAATCTCCCGACTTATCCCCAATTGAGCACGTGTGGGATATGATGGGTAGGAGATTGCTCATTTTGCAACGTCCTCCTAAGACTCTAGAAGCACTTCTAGAGGAGTTGGTGGTTGCCTGGAATGAGATAGCACAGGAGGACATTGACCATCTGATCAGAAGCATGCCTAGGCGCGTTGGAGAATGCGTAGCACATCAGGGTGCATCCACACATTATTAAAGGTCAAAGGGCTTTAAAGCAGTGCAATCATTTTGAAATTTTTATCATTTACTTATTAAGTACTTATACAAAATTTTATTAAAATAAAACCATTTAAACTGGGTGTTTGGATTTATATGTCACTTAGTATATTTCTTCTGTGGCATTGTGTGGCTCTCAAGCTTTCTGAGTCTGTCAGACTAAGGCTTTAGTACCAAGGTCAAGCTGCGGCATCTGGGACCGCCCTGACAACCGACGGTTATGCTGCAAATGTCCATGCAGCATGTACTGAGCCACTGATTTTTATTCCACATTTATTTTAATACAACAAGATACATTAGTGAATGTAATCAAAATATACAACATACAATAAAAAATAATTCATGTATAAATGCTGACGACATCGGGGCTATATTTCCATTTGACGAATCGATGTTTGTTGACGATATCTGTTAGAATCGATACTATATACGGTGAATAAATCATATAATTCGTTCGTCCATTTAAATTATTTACGTAGACAGGTGACCCGAATGTAATCAATCGGTTTAATTATTAACTCAACACGCGTGGTGCATCAATGCATTTGGATGATATGGATGCAGCCAGTCGGTCAATGACCAGACGAAACATGGCAGTACATAAAGTCATGCTGATGAACCTGAAAGCTCCACTGGTGCAAAAAAGCTCATTCTGTATTGAAAAATTATCCATTAAACTTTCTTTGCTGTGAATTCCCGTAGCTACATGATGACCTCAGAATTTCACCGTTGGGGGTTTCTGAAAAAGTTGGAGTACTGTTTCGTTGTTCAAGAAAGTTTAAAGCTCTCAGGAAAAAATGTAGGAAATGTTGTTAACGCTTAAGATAGACGACACCTCACAAGGGTAATGGAAGAACTGCTGATTCTCTGCTGAAACTATGATTTGTGGATGAGGCTTCAGTAATTGTGGGTATCAACGGACTGAATGCTTGCAAGATACTGCTGGGTATTGCATTTGTTCGGGAAGCGCGACATATTTAACACGTTCAGTGCGAACAGCGTCAAAAGACGCCCTCCGCTCCTGTGGTGGGAGGCGAACGGCGTCTTTCGACGCTCTCTGCCGGCTTCCAAAAAAAGGAAAAAAGTATTTCAGTTTCTGATGTGGGTATCCTCATCCCAGTTCGCAGTCAATGTGTTAAATATGCAGCAACAATGGAAATCTCAAACAAGGAAGGCTTGTTGTTTTAGTATGGGTAGTCTTGGAGGAAATTTTATGTCTCCAAGGCAATCTGTAATCTAATAAGACACAAGAAAACCTAAATGAAATCCAAAGGTGTCCAAAGAGATCTGAAAAAATGCAAGGGAATCCGTAGAGGTCCGAGGCAATATTTCTATCTGCGTATGCGACTGGGTCATCGATGCTGATTCTACTCGTTTTTCAACAGACCTTCCAATTTCATCCGATCTAAATTTTCACGAAGCGCAAGTACCTCTAAGTATATTTACAGTAATATCATTGGAAAAAATCGCCTGTCAATGTAAAGTCTAAAAGGTATCCTGTCGTTGTCTCGCTGATGAATACCCATGTTTCACTGGTTGTCAAATAAGACTACCTAAGAGACAGATGAATAAAACATGACAATATTGTCATATCCAACTCTGAAGTACTTTGAAAAAGTCCGAAAAATGTATTTTCATTCTGCTGATTTACGTGCAACATGAATTTTTAATTTTTTAGGCGAGCGCGTGACGGAAATATATATATATATATATATATATACAGAGTGTCCGCAATGTTGGGGTTTTCCTTTTCAGAAACAACTACCCTTGAAATAACAAAGGTGATGTGTAGTGAAACGAGGGCGACCAGTTAAAAAAAATAAAGGAAAAAGTACTCACTCTCCAGTTGACGAGAAGGGCTAAGTACGTCTCTGCCCCAAATCATACCGCTCCAACAGAAAATGAAATCAGCTGATGCGCTACCGAGCAGACGCAGAGACCACATTGATTGTCTTACACTTAATGGCACATCTTCTAACAAGGAAGGCAAAATGTTGCGTAAAAAGTCTAGGTATTGCATCCCGTCCAATCGATTTGGGAGCATACCGTTCACCATGCCAGCCCAAACATTCACCGAAAATGTTTGTTGAAAATGTGCCCGACGGACAGCGTGCGGATTTTCTACTGACCAAACATGACTGTTGCAAAAGTTTGTTATTCACCCCTTTACGCGTGAACGTAGATTCGTCTGTCACCAATATGCACTTCAAAAAGTCCGGATTATTGTCATGTTGATGCAACAACCAATCACAAAACCGCACTCTTGCTGGTAAATCGTCAGGTTGAAGGGCTTGTACACGTTTGACGTGAAACGGATACAGCCCCTCTTCACCCAGCGTTTGCCACACTTTAGTTTTTGATACTTGCACTTCTCTAGCCACGTCTCTACTGCTTGTTGAGGAATTCTCGTCTACGCGATTACCTCTACACGCGTGACCGTAATCGTCGGTTGAAGGTTGCATACTGACCTGACACATTGACTCCGACCCAGTTCTGTCGTCGGGTTGAGCCAGTGACCTTGTACCAGTCGGTGATGTCGCGGCTACAGGACGGTATTCAGATATTTTTGATGTTGCAGAGCCCTTTATCTCGGTTTCCTTAAGACATTGGTGTATATGGTACTAAGAAAAATTGCTTATGTTTTCAAGATCTACACGTCGTGTAAAGGAAAACTCTAACTTTGCGTCACCCTGTATATATATACAGCTATAAATCAGGCCTTTAGGCCCTAAGTTTTTTAAGTTTATTCCACCGCTCCTTGTCTAATGCTTGTTTCTTTCAGTCTCTGATATGCCTGCTCCTCAAATCTTCCATAACCGCACCCTTCCATCTTCCTCTTGGTCTCCCTGTTTTCTTCTTGGTATCCGGGACTCTCCATGCTGTATGCTTCACTGTTCTTTCTTGCGGCATTCTTTCCAGGTGCCCCAGCCACTACAATCTTCTGGTCCTAGCTGCTTCTATTATGTTTGCCTCATTATATAGATGATAGATTTCAGCATTAGACCTCCGAACATACCCTCCCTCCACCTTGATCCCTCCATATTATATTCTCTTTAAAGTTTTCCTCTCCCACCTAAGTAATGTTTGTTATTAATTACCCAGGTTTGTACTCCATACAAAAGTGTTGGCTTGATGATCGTATTGTGTAGCCTTATTTTGGAGACTCTAGATACACAGAATTTTTTTGGTTTTGTAATCGAGAATTTGTTTGTTCAAGTATAATTTCCAAAGCACTAAAAAACTACTTTTTCTAAAATTCAATGATATAGTTGAATATTGCTTAATTTGATTTTTACGTTTTTTAGGAAAGAATAAATTACTTTTGGTTATTCTGGATTTAATCGACATACTTGTCAATATATGTATCTCAAATTTCATCAATATGAGTCTGAGCAGTTTGTCAGTAAAGACTGAATATTGCAGTGTTTAACAACCTTATCAAAGTCGGAAGTTTTTAAAATAAAAAGTGGTCCAAAAGCCTACCATTGAAGCTCTCCCGATGACATAAAAGCCTCAGGGCAACGGTTCATATCGATGGCAACGTTTTGTGTAGTGAATTGTGGGTGGTGTCTAACACTAGTAAAATCTAAAAGAATTAAGATTGTTGTTTGATGGTTATCCCAACCTCTGATAATATTGTCAGTTAGATCTAACGATGCTCCAGCAATGTTATATCCCTTCGTAAAACCGCATTGTCTAGACGGTAGTATACCCTCGTTTTTATTTGTGTATACGTTTCCTATTTCAATAATTTGGAAAATATAGGGAAAAGTCTAACCATTTCACGTTAGAAAATCGGTTGTTGGATAAAACCATTGCTGAGGAGCCTACCTTTTTCAATTTTATTGTCAGGTGTGTACACGATTAGACTTCCGCCATCTTCTCTCCTCCACACGATCCGTGGATGGGGATGCCCAGTTGCTTTACAGGTAAGCGTCACATTTTCTCCTTCAGCGACTGTAATGTCGCCACTTGTCTCTGAGTCATCAATGTCAGGAGGAACTGCAACAAGAAATAGAGATGCTGAATCACTGGATACGAATTGAAACATTTCCAGTAAAAACTACGTATTATGTATCATAAAATTAACACTGTTTTCGTTGTGCCTTTACAGAGTAGGTATGTTTTCACATGCTATCTAGAATGATGGTCTAATATAGACAAAAAAAGCCACTCTGTTTTCCGAATTCGGGCTGACCTGTAACAATGCAAGTCTGCCGTATATATACCACTTGTTCATAAGTACATATTGGACACTATGGAGAAAAACTTGCTTCTTCAGTAAATCAAATTTCATCCAGTTGAACCATGAAAAACTAATAACATTATAATTTCACTGAATGAAAATCATAACGCCCCCCCCTCATCCCGTAACCAACTTTTCAGTCGCTCTATCTGAAACACACACACCCACAAACCAATTACACAGCGACCATCTCAATTAATATGCTCCAATTCTCTCATATCTACCTAATCTAAAATTAAACACGCAAACAAAACTAGTGATTGCATTGCAGAGCCGCTACACCATTCTGAATTACAATAATTCCAGGGGATTTCAGTTGTTCATGAGAAAATGTGTACTTTAGTTGTGACAGTATGAAGAGTTTTGTTTAGTAGCTCCATTGTACCTAGCATATACTCCAACGTGGAGCACATGCCGTGGAATCACATAAGCATATGATATATTATATTCGAGGCTAAGGCGAAAAGTTCTCGACCCGAAAAAAATGAAAGTGCTATTTTCAGTTAAAAGCGAGTTTATTCTCCAATGTGGTTGCTTAAGATATCAACACATTTGGTACATGTTCCTCGTTTGCTTCTTGGACACGAAGTCTAAGGCCCGTATCGTCAGTCGATCCTACAATATTGTAGGGCGCGTTTATGGCCTCCTTGATTGTCATACTCCTTTCTCTCCTTCAAAAATTTCTAGATTGTCCCGTGTCAGCGTCAGCGCTCTACTATTGTGAAGATTTGTTTTCCTTTTAAATTGTAGGAAATTCCAGGCCGATAAAACATGATATAACTCAAAAGGAAGCACAATTTGATGCAAATAGATGTTTGTGACACAACCTTAAAATAGAGCGCTACCACGGGAAAGTAGAAAACTATGACAATCACGGAGGCCATAAAGGCGCCCTACAATTGTAGGGACGACTGACGATACGGGCCTAAAAAGCTGTCAAAATGTACACCCACGACCCTCTCAACTTACTCATCGGAATCGAAGCTCTATACAGAAGTAAATTTGTCCAAAGTTGCGAACATACGTAGTTCTGAAAGGCCCAAATCAGGAAGATAGGAGAGACTGACGAGCAAATCATATCCTGAATTCTCCAGTTTTTCCATTTTCAACACACATTTGCAAGCAAGCCAAAATAATTATTTTCTTCCCAAAGCCTACCCTCATGAATTTTGGTATACAGTTGATCAAGGAAGTTGAGGTGGTCTTTGTCAGTAATTGTTCTCCCTCTTTAAGGTAATCACTTGATAGGATCCCCTCAAAACACAATGACCACGACCTTTCAGGCAAACGTAATTGACTCCTCTTTCTGTGGCGTTGAACCTCAGGCTTCCACCCTCCGCCTTTTTATTTCTGACTCGTTGTCGTGAAGCAGTGTTCATCTTCATCAATCGTTACATACAATACACACGAATTGTCCAACACAATATCGTGGAGATTTTCGATGGTTTCAGGTGTGGTTGCTGTTTTTTCATGTGTCTCATCTCCAAGGGACATGCGACGTTTAGATTAGGCTGTTCACTTTTGAGGGTTGTTGAAATCGAAGGAAGACTTCTGGTTACCTTGAAAGAATTTCACTAGGGGATTACCCATCCAACAGGAGCTTAGTCAAAAATACACCAGACAGACCAGTTACTTGAGATAGCAAATTGAAACTTATACCAATCAATGTACACAAGAATTATGAGTTGTTGCTCGTTCCTCTTTCCTGTCCGGTCAATCTGATCTACAGCTCTGCTGATGACAATCACTATACAAGCAGGAATTCAGAGAGTCAAGCCGATCTCTGCCGATGAGCTAGCCGTCAAAATCAACGTGACCTTGAATTGACCTTGTAAAGGTCATTAAGACATTTAAGCAACTGCAACTTCCGTGCCCTTGCCCCAAACTTAACCTTGTAAGGTCAAATGGTCAAAATCAGCATGACCCCTACTGACACTCCTCCCTTTTAAGGTTTTGAAATGAAATATACTAAGTGAATATATAATATATAAATAATATAAATTCGAACACCCAGTTTAAATGGTTTTATTTTAATAAAATTTTGTATAAGTACTTAATGAAGCATAATAAGTAAATGATAAAAATTTCAAAATGATTGCACTGCTTTAAAGCCCTTTGACCTTTAGAAGGCGCCGTGGTGAAAGGAGGAATCCACAGTTTTTTGTTGAAAGACATGTTCACCACACTGTTGGAGTTATGGTTTGGGATGCTATAGCTTATGGTTCCAGGTCACCTTTAATCTTCATCAGAGGTAACATGAACGCACAGCGTTATATCCACGAAGGTTTAGAACCCCATCTTTTACCCTATCTTGACACCCTGGCAGATCCAACTTTCCAAAAAGATAATGCCCGACCACATGTTGCAAGAGTCACAATAGACTTCTTTCAACATAATGATGTCACATTGTTACCATGGCCACCAAGATCTCCCGACTTATCCCCAATTGAGCACGTGTGGGATATGCTGGGTAGGAGATTGTTCAATTTGCAACGTCCTCCTCAGACTCTAGAAGCACTTCGAGAGCAGTTGGTGGTTGCCTGGAATGAGATACCACAGGAGGACATTGACCACCTGATCAGAAGCATGCCTAGGCGCGTTGGAGAATGCGTAGCACATCAGGGTGCATCCACACATTACTAAAGGTCAAAGGGCTTTAAAGCAGTGCAATCATTTTGAAATTTTTATCATTTACTTATTATGCTTCACTAAGTACTTATACAAAATTTTATTAAAATAAAACCATTTAAACTGGGTGTTCGGATTTATATGTCACTTAGTATACGTTCCTCAGTATAACGACTCTCCGAGTATTTCCCAACTAGCAAACTAGTGCTATAAGCTTTTGGTAAAAGAACCGTTCAGCCACAAAAGCTCTCTATTGTTGTTGCCTGAACACCAAGATGCTGGCTTAATGTTCTGTGGAATGCAAATTTGCTTTCTGCAACATATCTGCTCTAAAATGAGGTGTTTAAAATATTCTTTAGCATAGTTATACAACACCTTATAGGACAAATTTTTAACTGTTGCATAAACGTTTATACAACTATTTTGTAAGCCATATTTGCACGTTAGTCAAAATGGTTGTGTTGTGGCATCCATGGTAACGTTTATAAAACAAACCCGAGCCTTGTTGTTTTGCTGTGCATATTACTACTTTAGCCAACAAGTTGCTCCTAACGGAAGCACTTATACAACTGTTGTTTAGTAACTGTTAAAGGCTGTACATATGCTAAATATGTTGGTATACAACTTCACCATAACCTAACTTTCTGTCATATTTTTGTTAAAATGCCATAACCAATGATTTAAGACAAAGAACGCATGCATATTGGTTCAAAAGGCTTTATCAACTGTTCAAACAGAAGATATAGATCTGGTACAAATTCTGGGTAAATCATTCGACTGGCAACACCAAAATATTCTAATAAACTGAAGACAACATGGACGATGCCATGATTATACACAACCACCAGCCATATTGGGCAAACATTTATTCCTCTATTTAATATTAAATAATTATGTTTCAGTTCGAAATTACAGATATAAAGTGATAAACATTAGTGTAATTGTGTCTAAATACAGGATTTGTGGAAGATTTGACGCAGATAAGTTCAGTTTTCCATCTTAAAAATCTAGACATACTTTTGATCATTATCAAAATATGCGTCAAATAAGAAGCCCGTAGAAATTGCGTAACTACTTTGCACGATAATCACAATAAAATTTGCTGCGCAAGTAATTCAATAGCCCTATATATCACAGTGTAGAAGTTTATCATATACCTGTATATTTATGAAATTCACAATGGCCGATATGTTAGTAAACAAGATGACTGTAATGTGTTAGTTAAATATTCTTCACTTCGTCTTTGCAATACATAAGAACTAGTTTGGTTGCAATAAAGTAGAATCACGTAACAGAATAGTTGTATATTTGACAAAAACTGAATCTTGCACTGACGCAAATGTCCTATAGCGGCTGCAAGGGGCTTACAGTTTTGCTGTATAACTGTTACCTGCAGCCCTTATACAACCTCTTAAATGACTGAAGTGTCCTATTAGGTATGCCCATTTCACTTGTATAGCTGTTCTAAGAGGGTTTTGCTAATGTTCTTACAGTATCCAATGCTGTGTAAGGAATACTGTATAATCATTCATGCAACTCTAATAGGAGTGATAATTGTTAGTTGGGTTGGTCTGATAACCACAGCACATTCACCATTTTTTAAATCGAGCAAACCCCCTCCCTATAGTTATTACAAACTAAACATAGGATTTGGTACCACGAGAACTTTTGTTCAGGTAAGCGAGAAATATATTATACTCAATTTATAGACAAATCGGCTGTGGCCCATCTTCCATACGTTTTATGCAGGTTGCTTTTCTAGCAAAAGTACCGAGATGAAACATGTACGTGGAACGTCTTTTGCTATTTCCTTAGCTCTTGATGGTTCAATCTCGGGCATAATATATCGAAAAAATATTTACTCGACCTACATGTTCATAACCTACTTTGCGAACCTCTAACCCCACACAATGCCGCTTCAATATTGCTGCCCCGGAGCACCGTAAGTAAAAGTAACAAATTGAAAACGGTCCATGCATAATCCCGAGAGTGTATACATGCATAATTGAATCACCGCTGAAAATTTCATATTTTCATCTGCGGTTCAAGGAAAAGCTGCACTCACTACCGTTCCACTATATTTCATAACATATTGCCTGCTTCTTGGTTCGTGGGGCATTCATAGGAAGCACAAAATAAAACAGGGCACCTGTTTCCTGCCTGCAAAATTCGATTCG